AAATGTAGATGTAACCAGGGTTGATTGAATAATAGGTAGCTGTCCATTTGTCCATCCATTTAAATGTTTTTCATATAAAAATTACAAGACTTTTAAACCACCATCACTACATTCCTCGCAGAGCCAAGACTTTCATAATACTATTATACATATCTCTTTTCCAGGGTCACACAAGCAGGGCTGGTTCCTGGGAAATTAGTGCTCATAAGAAATTATCAGAAACATACACTCAATCCCTTTTGGTGCCTTCACAGACTAAGGGCACCACTCCCATCCCCTTCTTCCTAGTTTGCTGTTTTTTTGAGTGTTTAGTGACTTTAGAGGTGCCTACTTGCTGGTTATTTACTAACATTTTCATTAAGTTATGCCCCATGAAATGTATTTTGAAAAATTACATTTTGTCCCTTAACCCAATACCTGAGAAATCATGCTGGTCCAGTTCAGATGTGCATCCTATTACTGACTTGTGTAGATGCAATAACCTTTATTTAAATCGCCTTCTATGAATAGGCATTTATATTCTAGTAAATAGCCTTGTACATGGGGTATTTCATATTTGAGCAGGCCACTCTTCGGTGAGTAAAGAGGAAACGCATTACTGGTTTTCCAGATACTGCTCAATTTCCTTTCTTTCCAATAGCAATGTAAGAGAGGGCCTGCAGCTGCTTGAAGAATTCGAGTAGGTGGTATCAGGGTACCAGGAGCTCGTTTTAAGTAAGTGCAGGGGGTCAAGCTGGGTGGCGTAAACCCAGAGATGAGGCGGGCTGCTGCAGTAGAGTTTCAGCCTTGGGAGCCCTGTGGGGCAGCTCGTCTCTGTGCTAGACGGCCACTGTGAGTTGGAATCTACTCAATGGTACTGGGCTTGCTTTTTTTTTTTTTTTTTTTGAGGGGGCTGTTAAATTAAGGGAAATTCCACAGGGAGCATTCTTTACTCCCCAGGATCACTTGCTTCTGGGGAATCCTATGGAAACACATGCAGGAGGTCTCTCAGCCCAGAGTGCGGGGGCACATGAGGCTCTGGAGCTCACTAGAACTAGGCAAACCCGTTTCTGGATTTTACAGAGTGTGAGTGGAAAGACAGTGAAGGAAGGAATATTTTAAATACACATGGGTAGGGATGGGGGGGTGGCACCAGTTTCTCAGTTTTTGACTGCAGACTGGTGAAATGAATTGTAATTAGGGGCCGAGAACTGAACTTTCTCTTCCCTGCTAAAATAAATGGAGGATTTCCTCGGTTGTCTGAACTTCAATACTTGAACTGGACAGGAGCGAACCTAGCCTAAATGAAATTCAATTTCCATAAATAAAACTGGGTCACTTCAGGAGTGTCTCCCTGTGTTTCCTTATAGCGCACACAGAGCCCCTCCGTGTCCTCTCCTGTGTGTTCGCAGCCCGTGTCGGGAGGCCTGCGTAGCGTGTTGTTTGCGGTTGTGATGGAGGCGGAGGCTCCCTGTGTGTCAGCATGCGGCTGTTTCTGAGTATTGTGAAAACTGCGTGGACGACCATGTGCTGTTGCTATGCAGTGGGGGGAGGGCCTGTCCTGCACTAAAATAATCCCAAACCCAAACTGCGGCCATCCAGTTCATGATGTAGCTACCCCACGTGCGACAGAGTAGAACCGAAATCTCAACAGAAGCGGGCCTTTTGGATCCCCTCCCAGGGTTAGTGCAAACCACCGTGCACTGCTCAGAGACCTAGGAAGGGTGTCGGGGAGGCAGGTGCAGGGAGCTGACAGACCACACCTCTATGTCCAGCTCCACCTCTGTGCCTGTGCCCTGGGCAGGCAACTTGAACTTGGACTAGCTAATCCACCCATGCTTTGCCCAAAGGAGTCCCTGGGTGGTGCAAATGGTTAATGTTCATGGCTGCTAAGCAAAATGTTGTAAGTTCGACTTTGTCCAAAGGCACCTTGAAAGAAAGGCCTGGCAATCTACTTCCGGAAAAAAACAAAACCCAGGCATTGAAAACCTTCTAGAGCACAATTTTTCTTTTCTTTT